AGAGGCAAGGAAGGGTCCTTCCCTTGAGCCTTCAGAGGATGTGTGGCCCTGCCCACACCTTGATTTCTGGCCTCCAGCTGTGGTTTGTGTAGGCTTCAGCAAAACCCTCTCTGTCCTGTGGCAGGCTTGGGATGGAGAAAGTTGCCCATTGGTGTGGGTGCTCTGGACACGGTGGAGAAATACAAGCTCTGTGTGGCTGCATCTCCGCTCTGGGCGGGCTGGCGGCAGTGGGGCACGAAGCCCACAGATGTGGCAGAGAGGCCCGGCTGGACTCCTCTGGGTGGTATCTGTGGCCTGCCATGTCTGGGGCCTGTGGGCAGTGTTGTGTGCAGAGGATGTCACACGCTGTCCTCTGGGACACTGCAGCGTCAGGTGGGGTATTCAAGGGCAGCCTCCAGGGAGGCGGAAGTAAGGGGGGCATCAGGGACTAGGGGGTTCAGAACTAGCGGGTGCTGGGCAGGGAGATGTTGCCCCAAAGGGAGGACGCACAGCCCATTCAGAGATGGGGAGTGTCTTTAGACTGGAGGGGTGGTGGAGAGAGTGGATGGAGGACACAACCTCTGGGGAGTCCAGCCTTCCTGACAGCCTCTCTAGTGTTGTGTACACGCTGGAGCAGTCTGCATCTCCCCGAGTACTCACACCAGGCACACGTCACCCCACCCACTCCTAGCACCTTACCACGGACACACACACACACACCTCACATGACACACACCCAGAGACACGTCACACCCCATCACAGACACTTCACACTCAGACACGCACATACCTGTCACCCCGCCACAGACACCAGACAACTCACACCACAGACGCACAACGGCTCACACCCCAAATACACACCTTACATCATGCATACACCTCACGCACACCCCTCAAATCACACACACCACCCAGGCCACAGAACACAAGCCGCTCATGTCATGCACACCTCAATTCAAGTCATGTAAGTACCTCAAATCATTCTACATGCACTTTTATCAGTGAGCACAGGCGCACTTCATAGCATGCCGTAAACACACAATGCCTTACCCCTTCCGCAAACACGCACATCTTACATTCCCCGAACACGTCTCACCACTTCACAGTCACAGACGTGACTCAACACCACTCCCCAACATGCACCCCACATCACTGCACAAACACCCTCCTCACTCACCCCCACATCACACCTTCCCTAGAGGAAGAGATCACCCTCTGAATACAGTGCCTCTCAATGACCCCAGCCCCTCTCATCACCCCCAAGTCCAGAGGCACACACCCCACACTTCACCCCTAAGCGATCTCCCTGCCCTCCTCCTGTACACAAGTCACCCCACAACCCCACATGATCTCCAGTACGGAAGTGATGATGCTGCGTGACACCTCATGGTGTTCAGAGGAGGGCCTTTGTGTGCAGTGAGGAGATGAAAGACTCAGCAGAGTGGGCGGCAAGAAACCCCCAGAGCTGGGGGAACACCTCCATCAGAGTCCGAGGTGCCTGACCACAGGTCCCCACATGTGTGTGGGTGAGCTTGGGATCCACGACTGCAGATAAACCGGAGGTTTTTAGGTGCATTACCCGCGTGTTTGAAAGCCACCGGACTGAACTGCGCCAGACCTTGGCTGGCAGAGGACGGATTCCAACTTTATTGGAAGGAGGTCGATGAGCCACTGATGGTGCTAGGTGGTGGGGAACAGGCGAGGCTTTAGGAAGCTGAATGTTACAGCTGTATTCAGGCAAGACTGGAGAGTCAGGGGACATCGAGACATCACATAGCTAGGAGACCTGACCAGGTTGGGAGGGGGCTGGCTGGGGAGACTGCCGTGTGAACCCTGTGGGTGTCAGCACCCCAGTAAACTCATCCGCAGGATTCTGCCGCCAGTTTGGTGGAGCTGATGACAGAGGAGTTGGAGAAGGCTTTGCTTTGAGAGCCATCTACCCGGACCTGGGCAGGTCTCACTCCCGGAAGCAATGAGCTCAGAGGTTCTGGAGGGGGCCTGGGGGCAGATCCCAGTGGTCTTCCCACTCACCTCTGTCTCCTGTATTTATTGTTATTATTACTTTTTTTTGGCCGTGCGGCAAGTGGGATCTTATTTCCCCAACCGGGAATTGAACCCATGTCTCCCGCAGTGGAAATGCAGAATCCTAACCACTGGACCACCAGGGAATTCCCCACCTCTGTCTCCTTTAAAGTGAAGGCCAAGGACTCCTCCTCTCTCCTGCTGCCCAGGCTCCACTCAGCCTAATGAGCTGGGTCAGCAGGACACCCACCCACCCCCACCAGCTACCAGAAATTCTGACCACAGCCAGGGCTGACCACAGGACATTTGCACGTGGCCAGCTCATTGGAAAAGACCTTGATGCCGGGAAAGATTGAGGGCAAGAGGAGAAGGGAGCGACAGAGGATGAGACAGTCGGATGGTATCACTGACTCAATGGACACGAGTTTTAGCAAACTCAGGGAGATGGTGAAGAACAGGGTAGCCTGGCATGCTGCAGTCCATGGGATCACAAAGAGTCAGACACGACTTAATGACTTAACAACAACGAGCTGTCAGCAGTGTTTCAAGTTAATGTGCAAACAACAGGTGGACAGGCGAGTGTCTGGCAGCCCGGCTCTCTGGGGCCCCCCAGACCACTGATATTGGGAGGAGACCCCCATGTCCTCCAGCCTCTGTGTTAGAGGATGTGGGAGACTTCAGCTGCTGGGCAAAGATCCAGCTGGTCTGAGCAGAGGGCTGGAAGGAGACCCGTCTCTGGGAGGGAAACGAGTGGAAGGTCCCTGGTGCTAGCCAGAGGAGTGGGGAGGGGCTTGTGGAGGAGACGGACGTTTTCTCAGTGACCGCTGCAGGCCTCTTTGTGTGGAGCTGGGCAGTGGCGTCCGGCCCAGGGTTAGTCACGTGTCCTCCTGTCACAGACTGTCATCACTACGGCCAGGGTGGGCTGAGGGGTAGGGTGTGTGCCCGGTTTGCTCCCAGGCCATGCACGTGACCCGGGAGACCCCAGACTCAGGCCTGAATCGGGCCCCCAGGCCCTCACGCAGCAGAAGCTGCCCGTGGGTTTGTCCTGAGGTGCGAACCAGGCCGAGCGAGCAGCCAAGGCCCGGGAGGGAGGTAGGGCCTGGCCTGTGTGCTGTTGGCCACTCCCTTTCTTCCTTCTCACGCGGGCAAGTCGCCTGGCTTTTCTCACCAGGCTGGTGGTGAACGTCGGAGGTCCCACCCCTGTGCCTCTGAGGAGCGGGAATCAGTTTTCTCCCCACCCTCCAGCGCATCTCTGCCTCTTGCCCTCCGACACGCGGGAGGACGGGGATGGAGTGAGTGAGGAGGGTGGCTGTGGGCACACACGTGCCCTGCGCGCTGAGGGGCAGGTGGCGCGGGCCCGCGGTGGAGGGCGCCTGGCGCCCCTTTCCTGGTCGGCTCCCTGGCACCTGGTCCGCAGCCTGGACCCGCCCCTGCCGGACTCAGCCTCGCCCCTCGCGGCACTGGGAGCCTTGGGCGCTGCTTTTTCAGGCTGAGCTTCAGGCCCAGGCGCATACCCTGGCCAGTCTCTCATTTCTGCTCCATCATGGTCCCTTGCACAGGGACCCAGTGGTCAAGTCCAGATTCTGGGGGGGTTCCCCTCTCTCTTCCCACCAGCATGGTTCTGCTGTGTCCCAGCACCTCCCAGGCCCAGTGCTCTGTTTGGTCCAAGAGGCTGGCCTTTCAAACACCCATGCTGCCCAAGAAATGACATTGGTCCTTCTGCATCTCCGGATACTAGGATTCTGGGGACCCCTAAAGAAGGCCCTTTTGCGCCTGCCACCATCCAAGAGAGGGCCGAAAAGCTTTCCAAAGGCTTCCCCAGGATTCAAAGTCGCTGCCAGCCACTGGCAGGCATAGTGAAAGTGGAGAGAAATAAGGATGTGGGCTAGAAGAAGCGCTTTGTGGCCTGCAGAGGGGCTAAGAATAGACAAAACCTGAGGATGCTTCCTTAATCTGAGCTTATCCCCCATGGTGTGTCCAGAGACAGAGAGAGTGCGAAAACCTGAACTTTAATCCTTGACATGCCAGCGCCCTAGGACCCATAAGACAATGCCAAGTTTGGACATGTGTATAGCATTTTTTTTGATATGGACCATTTTTTAAAGTTTTATAAATAAGTTAAAGTCTTATAAAGAGCTTCTCAGGTGGCACTAGTGGTAAAGAACCCACCCGCCTCCAAATGCAGAAGATTAAGAGATACAGGTTTGATCCCTGGGTCAGGAAGATCCCCTGGAGGAGAAAATGGCAACCCACTCCAGTATTCCTGCCTGGAGAATCCCATGGACAGAGGAGTCTGGTGGGCTACAGTCCATAAGGTCGCGAAGAGTTGGATACGACTGGGTGACTGAACAGCAACACAAAGAATTTGGTACAGTATTGCTTCTGTTGTTTTGTTCTGGTTTCTTGGCGCAAGGGATGCGGGACCCTAGCTCCCAGACCAGGGATCGAACCTGCACCCCCTGCATGGGAAGGCGAAGTCTTAAACATGGACCACCAGGGAAGTCCCATGGACTTATGTGCAACTTTTAAGCTACCTCTTTGCCTCTCTGGGCTTTTTCTTGCCCTGTATCTATGTCAGGATGCTCCCTTGCCTTCTAGCTGTCTTTGGTCATGGGGAGTCCCAGAAGGAGATGGACGGGGAGCCGGAGGGGAGCAGCGTGGGGCAGGGGACAGTTTACTGCCCTGGCTGCCTCCTGGGTGGGCTCCGACGGTGGCTGTGTTCCACTGCTGGGGTCAGGCCAGCCCTCTGCACACAGCCCTCTGTCCCTGGTTCTGCTGACCATTCCCTCTTCTCTTTCTTCAGACCTGGGGTGGGTTGGATGCCATTAAACTGCCCAAGGGCCCTGCCACATCCCTCCTGGTTTCCCCACACCCTGCCTGCACCTCGGCCAGTAGCCGTTTTATTAAACCTCCTGAATGACCCATTGCGAATGTCCACCTGCTTCCTGCCAGGACCCTGTCAGAGGCCCAGCAGGGCCCCCGAGCCCAGGAGTGCTTACTGTGAATCCGATTCCCACGGTGGCTGAGAAGGAGCCCGGAACGAACTTGCCCTGGTCGAACTGAACCAGCAGGGATGTCTTCCCCACGCCGCTGTCCCCCACCAGGATGGTCTGAAAGGGAGCAACAGACGGGGCTGAGGACCTGCGAGTGTGGACCGGGTGACTGAGAGTGGGACGGGGCTGTGGGAATGGGTTCCTTCTAAACACACATACACATGTGCGCGCACACACACACACACACACACCCAAACTCTGGATTTCCTGGTGAAACCACTGAACACGGCATGAAAGCATAAAGGAAACCTTGTTTCAACCCAAGTTAATCAGTATCTCCGGTGACCTTGAGAATGTGCCTCTCAGACTTCCAGCCCCCGGGGCATCGCTGACTGAGGTCCCGCTGCTGCGCTCTGTGGTCTGTCCTTGAACCTTCCTGCCCTTCCTCCTTTACCTGGGGACAGACCTGGGTCAACCACGAGCTGGCGCTTGCCAAGGACATCTGCCAGGTTCCCAGGTGGCGCTGTGCTGGGCTCAGTCACTCAGTCGTGTCTGACTCTTTGCAACCCCATGGACTGTAGCCCGCCAGGCTCCTCTGTCCATAGAATTCTTCAGGCAAGAATACTGGAGTGGGTTGCCATGCCCTCCTCCAGGGGATCTTCCCGACCCAGAGATTGAACTCAGGTTTCCCATGTTGCAGGCGGATTCTTTACTGCCAGTGATAAAGAATTCACCTGCCAATGCAGGAGACAGAATCTTGGGTTCGATACCTGGGTCAGGAAGATCCCCTGATGGAGGGCATGGCAACCCACTTCAGTATTCTTGCCTGGAGAATCCCATGGACATAGGCTACAATCCATAGAGCTGCATAGTGTCGGACACCACTGGAGTGACTTAGCACGCACGCATGCAAGGGCATCTGACATCTGCTTCTGCGGAGACTGAATCCAATATTGCTGCAGCTGTTGACCTTCGAGATGCCTAGAAGGGAGTTCAGGGTGAAGAATGAGGCACTATGTGCTCCAGAAAAACTGGTGGAACAGGTCTTTAGATAGATATTTTCAGGATTTGATTTCATGACCTCAATCCTCGCATCTCTTCATATCTAGAAAAGCACTAAATCCCTTCATGGTGACATCGGCTCCTCGTAACTAGCAGAAAAATACCTTTTGTAAAATAGGTGCTCAATTGCATGAACTCCCCCTTGACCAAAATCACACATATTGACCTTCCCCCACTACTTCCTTGGAGTAGTCTCTCAGAGCTATCTGGGGTGCTGTCTCCCAGGTTGCAGTCATTTTGCCCCAAATAAAACTTAACTCACAACTCTCATGTCACGCATCTTTTTAAAGTCAACACCTTCATCACAGTCTGACTGCTCTCCCTGCCTCTTCCACCCCATTGCTCTCATAGGTGTTTCTCCCAGTAATATCCTTGCACTTTTTTTTTGACCACACTATGAGGCATAGTGGATCTTAGTTCCCCATCCAGGGATCAAACCCTGATTGGAGGCTCAGAGTCTTAACTGCTAGACTAGTTGGGAAGTCCAAAATCCCTCAACATTTACTAACCCTTTTGGCATCTGCTTCTTGGAACACCTGTGTCAGGGGTCTCCCTATGGGAAAGTCTGTAGAATGAAAAAAATGAGGACATCTGAATATATACGTTGGGAAGAATTTGCACTTGGCCTTGGGGAAGATAACATGTCAAAGGGACGCAGAGTCTGGGAAAGAAGGGTCTGGCTACTTCTGTACTTGGAGGAAGTGGTGGAGAGAATTACCTGGAAGTCCAGGTGCGATGTCTGAAAGAAAATCACAAGCGATAGGGAAGAAAGAAGCAGCACTCAGAGGCTGATGGGCAGTGGACCCTCAGTGAATGAATGGGTGGTAAATACCTTAGTTTCAAAGTGGACAGTGGCCACTGTCCAAAGGCAAGCGTTCAGGGTCACTGGAAAGACTCGGGAGATGCCGGCTTTAGCTCAACTTACAAAGCCATAAAGATGCAAAGGAACAAACATGAGACACTATAAAGATGACAGGGCCTCCTTGGGTCAGACCATGGCGCCAGCAGTTTGCTCTGACCATGGCACTCAAGCACTAGCCGGGGTCATTCGTGATGTGGCCTTCTATGGTCCCTCAGTCCCCCTTCCCGAACCGAATTCTGTTCAGTTTTTATTTCCTCCTGGAGAAGGGAATGGCAGCCCACTCCAGTACTCTCACCTGGAAAATCCCAGGGACAGAGGAGCTTGCTAGGCTACAGTCCACGGGGTCACAAAGAGTCGGACACCACTGAGCGACTTCTCTTTCTTTTCCTTTATTTCCTCCCTGGTGAAAAGGCTCCATCTGTTTGTTGTGTGCAGCGGCTTTAGTAATTTACATCTCAAATCTAACTTCCTCAAACTGGAAGAAGTGCTTCCTGAGAAAATATTCCAGAATGTGAGGGGTCAGTCTGTCCATTTGCATCCGCCTCTTTTACTAAAGGATAGGACAGATTCTTATTCTTTCTGCCCTTATCCTTGTTCTCTCCAGGGTGAAGAGTTATCATCACCTTCTCCTTTCATGAGAAAACAGTTCCCTCTTCTTGGGACCTTCTTTCTTCTTTCTGATTCGGTGAGGACACAGTCCAGGGTGATGGGGTTCAGCATTTCAGATCCAGCGGAATTCTGCCCAGAGGCAAAGGCGGGATGATGCTCTTGGGTTGGTCTTTTTAAAAACAGCAACTTCATGAAGATGATCACGTCAGGAGTCAGTTGATGATGGCGGCAAACTTTTTTTCTGGGCTACCATGGTGAGCTCAGAGCTGATCAATTTAGAAATTGGATGATTGCCCCTGAAATCCAGGACCACCTTCATGCCTGGTCTTTGTCTGCCTGTGCCCCACCCCGTGAAATAAGTGGTCCATGGAGCCAAAGACTTGTGTCCCCCCAGAGACTATAGTTTGCTCCAAGCTTACTGCTAGTGTTGCCTGAGTAGTGGCCAAGGGGTGGCTGTTTGCTGGGATGTGGACAGAGCTTGGGTGTGAAGGCTGGGTGTTCACACACACACTCTCCTGAGGACCTTGGGGTGTGGAATGTGCGGGAGTGGGGAGGGCAGGGGATCGTCTTTGGACGGTGGGCTGAAGACTAGAAGACGTCTGTCATTAGGCTGCTACGTCTCGGTATAGAACTTCTGAGAACGATACATTCAAATCTGGCTTCTGGGTTGGTAGGCAGGTATTTTTGTCAAGGTAGGAAGGTTAGACGCACTTTTTTTTTTTTTTTTTTTGGCCATACTGTGTGGCCTGCTGGATCTTAGTTACCAGCATGCACGTGTGCTAAGTCGCTTCAGTTATGTCCAACTCTTTGTGACCCTATGGACCGTAATCCACCAGGCAACTCTGTCCATGGGATTCCCCAGGCAAGAATACTGGAGTGGTTTCCCATGCCCTCCTCCAGGGGATCTTCCCGACCCAGGGACTGAGCCCACATCTCCTGCGTCTCCCGCACTGGCAGGTGGATACTAGTGCCATCTGGGAAGCCCCTTAGTTACCAGGTCAGGGATCTAAACTGTGCCCCCTGCAGTGGAAGCATGGAGTCTTAACCACTGGGCCACCAGGGAAGTCCAGATGCATTTGATTTGATAGATTTAAAGAAAATATTTGTTTACTTATTTGGCTACACTGGGTCCTAGTTGCGGCACTTTCCTTGTGGTACAACGACTCTCTCGCTGTGGCTTGCAGGCTCAGTAATTGCAGCCCACAAATTTAGGAGCTCCGAGACATGTGGGATCTTTAGTTCCCCTACCAGGGATTGAACACGAGTCCCCTACATTATAAGGTGGATTCTTAACCACTGGACCATCAGGGAAACCCTGATTTGATAGACTCTTTTCTTAGCTTGCTTTAGACTGTTAAAATATCGAGACATATGGTATATGGGCTGCCATTTGTATGCTAGCTCTGGTCCCTCAAATGTTAGGGAGGGGTCTGGCTAATCTATTACCTTAATGCACAAAGGAGTGTCTCCACTTAAAGCTGCCAGTATTTTCCTGAAGTTTCTCTAGGTGGGCTCCAAATTTCACTGCTCAGATAAGCCAGATGTCAACCTCAGATCTAGATTTTCCAGGGCACCTCCCCTTTTTGGGAGCATCTATGAAAGGTTAATTAACTGTGGTTGTGATAGAAACCTCTGTGTCAGCTTCACCACCGTTAGACAAATGTCTTTGTTCTTTCTTCTTGTCATTTTGTTTATGTCCCTATTCGTGCCTCATCCACATCCAAAAGGGATCTGAGGTGGTTTACAGCAAAACCCATCATAGATGGCTCAGTGGTGAAGAACCCGCCGGCCAGTGCAGGAGATGTGGGTTCGATCCCTGGATCGGGAAGATCCCCTGGAGGAGAACATGGCAACCCATTCAAGTATTCTTGCCTGGAGAACCCCATGGATGGAGAAGCCTGGTGGGCTTCAGTCCATGGGATTGCAAAGAGATGGACACGACTAAGCCTGCATGCATGCACACCACTATACCAAAGGACAGTTAACGATGCCGCCTGATTATGCCTGGCATAAATTCCCCAAAGTGAGGTTGGGTTTTTCCTGTGTCTGAGCATTACATTTGGTTCTGGATTTCCTGGAAGTCAAGACGAAATGGGAAGCCAGACGGAGTGTGTGGTACTTTATTGCCAGGAAAAAATGCCTGAGTTCTTTCAATCTGTGTGTATTTTTCTCTTGGCGTGAGCTGCTGAGAGGAATCTCTTGTGTGGATCCTTACACAGGATGTCCTGAATGACAAGATGGGCATTTGTAATTTTGCAGAAGATGCAAAGTTTTCCTCCAGCTTTTGTATCGATCTTTGCTAAAAGCCGGGCCTGACATCTACTCGCACTTCCGTAGAGGCCTCTCAATGGAGCCGGGCTAATGGTGTCTAAATACATTGCTTTCCTGTGATTTCATGATTCAGGGGCACATTTAGAAAACCAAGATGAATGGAGTGGTTACCGTGGTTCTTTCAGTGGTTCTTAGCTACCTTTTATTTTTTTTAACAAGACAGGAAATTCAGATGCCATAAAGAAAAAGATCGATAGATCTGATTGTATAGGAAAAAAAAATACTCTGGTCATTAGAAGATACAGCAACAAAA